ATTATTAGGGGGAAGGGATTAATGTTTCTTACTCTTTTCCTATTATTTTCCTATTTTGTGGTATTTGTTTTCAGTGGGCCTAATTTCATGTCCGATATTTTTGTTATTTTTCCTAATCTTATTATTCATTTCAACATACCCTCACCTTTCCAATGCTCGCACGTCTTAAAAGTAAGTATACCGACTCTGAATGACCTGAGCTAAAGCTACCTGGATTTTACCCCACATGTGTGCAGAGCCTGCGGAGCTCCCGGGACATAAAACCCGCATAGCTGCGTGACCGGTGGCCAGTGCTGCCAGGCAAGTTCAGCAAGACCATTTGCGCTCTAACACTGTGCCACTTCGGGCAACACCAAAGGATGTGGCACGTGTCCTCATCACCCTCGCCACAAAAGGGACAAACAGCACTGTCAACCTTGGCAGCGTACATACGCTTCTTCTGCGTAAACACAGCACCCGCAAGCAAGGCATACAGGGCATTGCGAATGTCACCCTTAGAGTTTTGAGATGTCAACATCTTTTTAGTGACGTCAAAATCGCAATTTACAGCCCCTTCAAAATCCTTACGCCGTTTTTCCGCCCTTACAATGAGAACCCGTCTAAGAGAATCCCGTAACACATGCTAGGTGACTCGCAGATCCGGTGTGGCTAAACAGAAGCCACGGCCGTCAGGTAACTCAATGGTAACCCCGTCAGGGGACGACCATTTCAAGAAACGCAGCCTCTGCCTGAAAACCTGGATGGGGCCTCCGGTCATGTATTTGCCAGAGGTCAGAATGCTGCCACGTCACAGTGAGCACACTTATACACCTTAGAGTCGTCCGGTAGGTCTGAATGCATGAGCAAGGCTACCAAGACAGGATGCCTCTGCAAGCGCCGCGTTCTGCTGGGTGCCAGCCGCGCAGACACAGTGCGACAGTGCCATCTGGCGCCTTGCTTGAATAGCGTGCGCCGGTTTATGGACTGCGCGGCTACGTCAGGCGCAGCGGTGGAAACATTCTCGGGAGCAGAGGGTGTCCACTTGAGCGGCCTCACCTTAGAAAAAGCAAGGGTAAGCGGCAGCTTGCCTGGCGGGGCCTCAAGAGCAGTGATTTCAGCAATGGAGCTTTGGACAGCGTTGTCAACACGGCCGGCAAAACAGGCCTCCAACCGCCTATGCGTCTCTAAGTCATTTTGCATGAGAGGACGCCGATTTAGACCACGGAACACGTGCTTGCCAGCAAGACGCGGGATCTTTTGCAACGTCTGCTTGCCTGCCACAACCGGGGTGGAGAGGCAACGGGCCAAGCTACGACAAGCGTTACTGATCGTCCTGACTTTGTGAAAAAGGTCCGATTGATCGCTGAGCAACGGCACGGATGGAGCACCTGGCGAGAAACTGTGCGCGGAAGCGCCTTGCCTATCACAACCTCAAAGTTAACTGCAAGCTCAGCCCAAGTGATGCCAGAAAAAGAGCTACTGGTTGTCGCACTGTTGAGCAGGCCTGCTTCGGCAGAAGGCCATCGAAGAGTGCGCAAAAATGTGATAAGGTCATCACGGAAAGGTGCAGGCCAAGGGAAAACGTTGCTGTTGAAGGCCTGCAAAGGCTGCACAGAGAGATCAGGCAAAACAACTGTGGCCTCAACGACGTTAGTCGACAGAGGCTCAGCTGCAGGCACGGCTTTCTGAACAGGAGCGCCAGGACTAACAGCCTCGGAGGGCGGCGGCTGCGACGCCACAGTGCTAGGCACATGTGCCCTCTCATCAGCATGGAAGTGGCAAACGTCAAGAAGGTAACGCTGAGTCAGAGACGCAAGGCGTTTGCGCTGGGCCGAACTGACCGGAAAATTTGCGGGGATCGGGCCACACAAGATGAGGCAGGAGGGCCAGGGCTGGGGTGAGTCCTTCAAGGAAAACAGCTCAGAATGCTTAGCCTGAAGGACTGCCAGATCAGGGCAGGCCCAGTAGTAGTGATGGGTATCTTGCTTGGCAGCGCCGACGCGGTCCACTGAGCGTCCACCAACATGCCATGCAAAAACCCTTGTTCCAGTTCAGAAAGAGACGCACGCAGGTACATTGTCGCAGCACGATCAACGCCTGCAGGCTCAACCCCGACAAGCACGGCGCCAGCCCCACAATCGGGCGGCCTCACGCAATTCGTGAGCAAGGTCAGCAGATGTAAGTGTGAGGAGCGCCAGATCACGACTGGGTGATCGGAGCGTGAAAGGAGCAGGCCAGCTCCACTGAAACTCCGAAACAAGTGACCACGGAAGCGACACAGGACCGCGAGGGTTGGCCTCACGACTGAACGCAGTGCGTCACCAAGCAGGCCAGACGCGACGCAAGTCAGCATCAGCAAGCAGACACCGCTGCAGGGTACAAAAAGCCTGGCAAAGCCTCGCCTGAAAAGGGTCAGTGATGTGGGCTTGCGTGTAAAGCAACAGGACAGCATCAGCAGAACGGATGCGTCGTTTGGGGCCCCAAGTGGCACACACAATAGCCTGCTTGAGCTCTTGCAAGGGCCTGTTACCTACAAAACAAGTTCCAAGCCGTAGTTTGCAAGACTAGAAGCAGCGCCACTAACGAGCTGCGCCTTCTGCAGCAGGGGCAGGGGCGCACAGCGAGCACGTTTGGCAGCCTTACGTGCAGATGCAAAACGTTCACACTGAACCTCTGCGCGGCGTGAACCATGAAACACCACCTGGCATCCCAAGTCTTTGCTGGCCGCTTTCAGCGGAAGAGGCTGGCCACGAAGCTGCAGCGCTTTGACCAACTGGCGGCCTGTACGAGTTGTGGCCCAACCAAAATCCTTGGTAACGTTGGGCGTCTGACCAGTTAGGTCCATGAACTCCTCAGTGACGCAAATGCCCCTCCGCAGCTCATGTGAGACGGGGGCAGGACGGGCGCCTTCAGCTTCAAGCATGGCATCGTCGGCATAGCTGCGCACAGAAACGGCTGACTCGGAAGCAACAGCACGGGACCAAACAGACATTCGCAAATCCATGCCAATGCATGCAAGGGCATCACCTTGAGGAAGGCCCGGTTGACACTGAACTCACGCCCAAGGCCGTGCGCGGTTTTGAGAAACTTGCGAGCGCCGCGAGTGGCGCTCAGCCACGTGTCGCAAAAACTTGTTGGCAGGCCGCTATGAACAAGAAGGTTGTAAAGCACTTGGTGTGGAACGGAGTCGTAAGCTTTGGCAAGGTCGAGCGAAAAACCCATGCGATGGCTCTGCTTGAGCCAAGCTTGCTCCGCAGCGGAGGCCGATAGCCAAGCCGGGTCAACGGACCGTTTGCCACGACGACAGCCAAACTGTGTGGGAGCAGCCCAGGTCTCAATCCACTCACTCAAGTGACGAGCACGAACACAAGCCCAAGCACGGTAAACCAAAGTGGCAACTGTGATGGGTCTCTGGTCCTCTTCAGTGGAGTCTTTAGGAACCAGGGAGACAACCTGCACCAACAATTCGGGAGCCCAATGACCACCAGAGTCTTCAACATCATTTAGCATGTCAGCAAGCTTTTGCAGGAGAAAATCAGGCCATGCTTTGAGCTCAGTCACAGCCCATACATCGACACCTCGGCTGTTTCCTAATGGCTAAGCCTTGAGCTGGAAGCCTGAACCAGCCAACCAAAACCCAAAACCATAAGACCCAAAACACTAAACTCCTAAACCGAAACCCTAAAACCCTGACACCCTAACACCCTAAACACCTAAAACCCCCGAAACCCTAAACCCAGGTCCTTCCCCTTCGGCGGTTTCGATGCCCACCTCCTCGTAGTCCTGCTGACTTTGAGGCTTATAGCCGCATTTACAGAAATCCATCATTCCAGGACCCTCCTTGTACCCTTAAAAAGAGGTTTAGGGTTTAGGAACCCCCCTTGTAACCTTAAGTAGGGATTTAAGGTTTAGTTTAGGGCTTAGGGACCTTGTACCCTTACATAGGGGTTTTGGGTTTAGGGGTTTAGGGTTTAAGCTTTAGGGACGCCCGTTTTACCCTTACATTAGGGGTGTATGGTTCTAATGAGGTGTATTTTAGCTAGTTGATTTTAGTTTCTTGTCAAGATTCTGAATATTTTCAGGGGGTTTTCAATGCCTAGCCAGCATTTGGATTGAAAGTATGCATCTTCGCCCTCTTGAACAAGGGCATGGCAAAGCAGTCTCGGCAGCAGTGCTGTACAACATTCGTTTCTGACAGCCCCGTGCAGCCTTCTCCAAGGCTGCCAAATCCTCGCGGGCCTCGGAGAACTCGCCCTCCTCCATGCCTGGCAGCTGCGTACATACCGCGTACCGAACCTTGCTCGAAACGATTTTTGCCACAGAGACCCGGCCTTCGCCGACGTAGTGGTGGACGAAGGCACGCTTGGAGTACATCAAGTCGAACTTGTGGTCGATGCGGGAGAAGACTTCGGCGATGGCGGTGCTGTTCGAGATCCTAACGGAAAGCTTAGCTTCTGCAGCGGGCTCTCACAAATCAAGGCCTGAATCAAGTACTACGTAGCGGAATGGTCGCTTTTTCAAGATGCACCTAAAAACCATCGACCGCTTGATGGAAAACTCGACTGTATTCAAATCCTGCCAAATACCGGGAACGATGCGACCCAAAAGTTATGCCAGGGGTCATGCAGCAGGCGCGCATCACCTTGGCCAGGTCACCGCCGGGCACCACGGTCGGTGGCTGGTAGTTGATGCCGCACTTGAAGCCGGTGGGGCACCAGTCCACGAACTGGATGGTGCGCTTGGTCTTGATGGTGGCCACGGCAGCGTTCACGTCCTTTGGGACCACGTCGCCACCTCAGAATCAGCCAGTGCAGGTCAAAAACACCTGAGATCCGCTGCACGGTTTTCCTGGTCACTTTAGGCGCCCGGCGGTACATCATGCAGCAGGCCATGTACTTGCCTGGGCCGCTCTTCAGTGCTTTGCGGATGCAATCCGTGGCAGGGGATGCTAGCGCTGTCACTCGAAAGTATGTTCAGCTTCCTTCCTTTGAGCAGCTAAGACACCGTGACGAGGATCGCACTTGACCATCATTGATGCCGGCTCGAAGACGGACATGGTGATCTCGGCCACGGACAGCTGCTCATGGTAGG